TCCATCCATCCATCCATCCATCCCTCCATCCCTCCATCCATCCCTCCATCCATCCATCCATCCATCCAGTGTTGGTCCATCTAGCATCCATCATCCTCCCCCTCCTCTTTCCCATGGTAATGGAAGCCCTGCTTTGTGCTAAGCACTGCCCCAGATGCTAAAATTAAATCCTATTACCCATAAATAAATCATATTGCCCATCTTCTGGGACTCACGCCTTTCAACAGGAGGGAAGTGTGTTCTCTGACTTTCCCCTCAGGCCCCAGACAGCAAAGTGGCACCTACCTGACTCAGCCACTTCAGAAATGGGCACCCCCTGCTCTTGCGACATGAAGCCCAGGATGGAGAAGACAACAAACCCAGCCACAAAGCTGGTGGCACTGTTCAGGAAGCAGAGAGCGACGCAGTCCCTGTGGGAGTGGGGCAAGGGCAGATAGGAACGGCGAGGAAAAGAGAGGAGGAGAGAGCAAAAGACAGTGAGAGGGGACCGAGGAGAGAGAAGGGGAAGGCAAGGGAGGCACAGAGGAGGGGAGGAAGGGAAGCGAGGATGGGAAGAAGATAGTAGAAGAAAAAGACAAAAATCGGGTGGCAGACAACAAAGAGAGAAGTGAGAGAGAAAAGGAATAAGAAAGACACTTAGTCTGGGAACTGAACCCACCAGGTCAGTTTGACACAACTTATAATGAGCCCAGAGATGATGGGTCTTTGTCCAGAGCCCACCCCCAGGCCCCTAGCCCTCCTTCGCCCCACCCCGGCCCATGCTGTTCTCACTTGTAGCAGTTGTTGTGGTACTTGTTGTAGCTGCCCAGGGCTGTCAGGCACCCCTGGCAGATGGCGAAGGAGAAGAAGATCTGGGTGCCCGCATCCATCCACACCTACACAAAACCCCAAGAAAGAGGTAGAGGAAGCCCCCAGGGCCCAGAGCCAGGGTGACCCGAGATCCAGACCCATCCCCTGCAGCACCAGCCTGGCCCCTCAGTGCTCCCTGAGCGCTTCCCTCCTGCGTCCCAAGTCTCCATGAGTACGCCCTCCTGTCTCCATGGTGATCTCCTACCCAGTGGGGCCCAGTTTCGGTTTGGCTCTGTAGGCACTTAGTGAGTACCAAATACATGTGTGTTGCTTGAATTTCTTCAGGGGAATCTACAAACCATGGCTGCACCCAAGGCCTATCTGCAGGGCACAGCTGGGAGTCACTTGTCTCATTCAACTAAGATCTCTATATATAGTGTCTTAAGCAGCTATGACCTGGGGACAAAGAGGCTGCTTCATCAAAATATCAAGATAAAATGCCCAGGAACTATGGCTCACGCCTGTAGTCCCAGCTGCTCGGGAGGCTGAGGCGAGAGGATGCCTTGAACCCAAGAGGTTGAGGCTGCAGTGAGCTATGATGGCACCACTGCACTCCAGCCTGGGGGACAGAGCCAGACCCTGTCTCTAAGAAAGAAAAAAAAAATTTTTTAAGAAAAAAAGTTATATTTGAGTGGTGGAATTACAAGAGATTTTTAGTTTCTTTTTTATAGCTTTCTTCCATATTTTCTAATTTTTCTCCAGTGGGCATCTACTGCTTTTAAACCAACGAAAAAGCAATACAAGACTTTCAAAAATACAGACCTGGTTGGGTGGGGAGGGCATCTGGGGAAGTGGTCCCAGCACAGTACATACCTGAGGGTCCTTGAGGCGGAACAAATCTGGCTTCAAGTAATAGATGATGCCCTGGTAGGCCCCGGGAAGGGTAACACCTCGGACCAGCAGAATGACAAGCATCAGGTAGGGAAACGTGGCTGTGAAATAAACCACCTGGAGGTGGGGGGCAGGCCAAGGTCACTCCTGGTGGGGACGCAGTGGCCCTCTAGCCACGCCCCACAGGCAGTGCGAGTCACACGGAGCTCAGTCCCAGCCTCAGAGACCACTAAGAGGGGCAAAGCACGGGAAACTTTCCACACCTCCCTTTACACATTCCAACGGGTCCGTGCTCCCCACAGATGTGGGGATAGACATCCTGTGAGACGCACGTCAGCACGGGAAGGGTGGGGAGGGGAGGAGGAAGACAGGGAGGGAGGCAGGTACAGGCTTCCAGCCCATAACCTTCCCAGACCATTTTTTTCCTCTTATTTTTAGTCAACGTGTACGTATGTACATAATCTGTACATGTTTATGAAAAAGAGTGGTAGTTCCATACATGTATATAATGTGCAATGATAAAATCAAGGCAAAGACTACTTTAAAGTCCAGAATCGGGTCTTTCTTAATCCCTTATCCTAGCTGTTCTCTCCTTGCCCCCTGGCGACCCAGGGGAACGGTGACCAGATTTGTACAGTGATCTGTGGGGAAAGTTAGACTGCACTTTTCCCGGCTAATGGTTGGGGGAGCAGCGGTGGCCGGAGCTCCGGGGCGTTCTACGCTGCCACTCAGCAAACTCATCTCCTTCCTTCTCTGGGTGGCAGCAGTGGCACTGTCTGTGCTGTTCTCACTATGGTGACCACTTTTTTTTTTTTGAGACGGAGTCTCGCTCTGTGCCCCAGGCTGGAGTGCAGTGGCAGGATCTCAGCTCACGGCAAGCTCCGCCTCCCAGGTTCACGCCATTCTCCTGCCTCAGCCTCCCAAGTAGCTGGGACCACAGGCGCCCGCCACCTCGCCTGGCTAATTTTTTGTATTTTTAGTAGAGACAGGGTTTCACCGTGTTCGCCAGGATGGTCTCGATCTCCTGACCTTGTGATCCGCCCGTCTCAGCCTCCCAAAGTGCTGGGATTACAGGCATGAGCCACCACACCCGGCTTTCGATGACCACTTTCATCATCACTATGACCAACCTGTCACAATTCAGGGAGGGGAAAGACTGCTGCGGGAACAGACTAAGTGTACGGCCAAGCAGAGAAGTCTGTTTACCAACCATTCCTGGCTTTAAAAAGGCACGAAGCATAGTCTCCGGCTCTCTGGGTTGGAAATAATGCTCAAATCTGAATTCTCTCTACGTGACAAGCCCACCGTTGCCCATCCTTGATGGGAACCCCTTCGATGACTGGAAACTCACCACCTCAAAGACAGTTCTGTTTGCTAATTCAAACTCAAAATTATCTTGCTATGTGTTAAATACAACAACAAGTGAGTCACAAGAGCGTGTGACCCTCATGATGTCATAGCCACACATAATGGATACACACACACACACACACACACACGCATGAGAGAAACCAGAAGGCAACACAGCAGAAGTGAACAGAGATTCTCAGTGCCAACCTGGCAGCGCAGTGATTAGCTCCAACAATGGGACTTTTCTGTTTCGAATTTGCCCTGAATATTCTTATGGAAACCGGATTTTTAAAGTCATATTGAAAAAGAAAGACTTTCCTTGCATAGAGCTAAGATCCGCCTTCCTGTGACTTCCCCTGTTCTCACTATGCATCTCCCCTGCACTGCTCAGGAAGCTTCGTTTCTTAAGAGAAAGAAATCAGTTCTCCAGAGGGTCCCCCTCAAGTGTCCCCAAAAGCTCTGGGGGCCACAGGGAGCTTCCTAGGAGGCAGAACATCTCACCTTGCCTGTGGACTTGACGCCCTTCCAGATGCAGAAATAGCAGATGACCCAGGCGAGCAGGAGGCACAGGGCCAGCTCCCAGCGCAGGGCGCCCAGGTCATGGATACCTGAGGTGATGCTCAGAACTCGTCTCCTGGAGGATTGGGAAAAATAAGTAACGAGGGGAAAGGCTAAAGGGGGCAGTTTGCAACTGTTGGCAAGTCTCCTGATGCTCAGATTCTCAGAGCTGACCCCATGGATCTCATATTCCAGGGCTTCCCTGACCCCCTGGGGGAAGTTTGGTAGACCAAACTTCTACCATCATCCCATACGTATCTTTGTCTTTCTAACTCATCCAGATTTTTTTTCTTGTACAGAAAGATGGAGAGAGAGAGAGAGATGAGGAATGTACACATGAGCGTTTAGCGAGTAAATATTTATACATGCAGGTGGATGGGCCAGTGGCATGGGTATCCCATGGAGGGGCTGAATGTGTGTGAGTGTCTAAACATGCAATGGGGTGCTGGAACTGCATGCATGGGTGTGAGGGTTCGGCACCGCGAGGGCATTCATGTGTGAGGGCAGTGGTGCCCACGTGGGGGTGAGCTCAGTGTGAGTACAGGCAGCCTTGCGTGGGAATGTAGGTGGACGAGTGTGGGCACGGGTAATGTGAAGGTGTAAGTTGTCATGTGAGAGGGTGAGTATGTCAGCAGAGGGTATGCCCAGGTCTTGATGTGCTCACTTCCGCCTTGGGCGATTTCAAGCTACCAGCATGATGCCACCAAGCATGGCACTGGGGAGAGACATGCACACCCAGCTCGCCTAAGGCTGTGAAGACGGTGTCCAGCACCCCACCGGACATGTATGGGCAGACATATGCGTGGAGGTAGGGATGTGGGGGTGAAGGTGGACACGATGGAGAAACGGGAGTCTACGCGGACCCAGGTGGGTAGATGTGAGAGCGTTCTCCCCTGCCTCAGCGACGTGTGGGGTTGGAGTGGGGCGGGGGAGGAAGCGCTGGAAAGCACACAGAGAATCTTAAACTTGCACCCCAGACATTCAGACTTGCACAGCTCAGACATCCAAATTTCTTCTGCTTGGAGCCTCTTCACATGTGGCATATGGGCCCAGCACCTACTCCCAGAATTCCATGACAGGTGAGGTAAAATTCTCAGATGGGGTCACTGTGCCAGCTCCCGAGTGGTTCAGAAAGTCCACGCAGTGCTCTGTTGGGGACAAGATTAGGGACAAGATGGAGAGAGAGGCCCTCATACCCTAGTCCCCCTGGCCCTCTGGCCTTGCAGCCTAGTGGTCCTCACCACTCCTAACCCCAAGAGCTTCTTTTGGAGCCCACCCTCTCCAGAGCATAAGGAGTCTCATAGAGCCAGCTCTTCCTCCCCCTGCTCTTGTTCCCTCTGAATCTGGCTGCTTACCTGGCTGCCCTGCCAACCTCAGACACTATCCAGACTTCAGATCTACTCAGACCTCTCACGGGCAGCTGGTATGGAACGCATTCTCCCCACTGGCCCTTTCCGACTTCCTGTCTCTCCACTTGACAGACCAAGGGACTGAGGCCCTGTGCCTGCTCTTCCCCCTGCTTGGAATGCTGTTCACATGCTGGGCTCTTTCTCACTTCAGGCCTCAGATGACACGTCTCCCTCCCCTTGTTCTATGGTTTCTGCAGTTTCGTTCACCTATCACAATTCGTAGTGGTTGTGTTTATTTGTCTGTTTCCACCACCAGACTGTAAACACAGTGAAGGCTGGGTCCCTGTTGCTTTTGCTCAGCCTTGTACCCATCTCCAGCCCTTGGCACCATGTTTAGCACATAGTAGGTGTCCAGTAAGTGCTTGCTAAGTGCACAAGTGAGTAAGTGGTGATAACCCTTGCAGTTGTTTAATACACTCCCTTTGGGTTCTCCCAACCACACTGACTTGTCCTAGTGGCTGGCCTGAGGGCTCCAGGAGAGCCAAGGAGCAGAGCTGGCCCCGGAGCCCACATGGCTTGGCTATGAGGCAAGTTCCGCTATACACCCCATCGCTGCTTGGACATCACCAGCCGCCGCAGCCCAGCCCCTATTAGGCAACATCCCAGGGGCTGAAATGATGGATACCTGTGTTCCAAACGTTGCTGCAGGTCGTCCAGGGCAGCTCAGAGGTGAAGGAGCTGAACAGGTAGAAGAGAGCCCAGGCAAGGATGATGATGTAGTAGATATTCAAATATGACTCAATGACCACAGACGCCAGACCAATGCCTTCCAGAGTGGGGGAGAGGTGGGGAGGGACAAGAGAGATCAATGTTAGCAAAAAAGTCACACAGAAGCTGCCAGTTGAGGTTACAAGGGTATTGGGTGCTACACAAAGAGAAACAATAGGTTTATCCAGTGGCATGAGAAGCCATTCACAGCATAGTTTTCTTTTTTTTTTTTTTTTTTTCCCTTGAGATGGAGTCTTGTTCTGTTACCCAGGCTAGAGTGCAGTGACATGGTCTCAGCTCACTGGAACCTCCACCTCCCGGGTTCAAGCAATTCTCCTCCTGAGTAGCTGGGATTACAGGCATGTGCCACCACACCCAACTAGTTTTTGTATTTTTAGTAGAGATGGGGTTTCACCATGTTGGCCAGGCTGGTCTTGAACTCCTGACCTCCCAAAGTGCTGGGATTACAGGCACATAACCTGTGCCCTAGCAGAGGAAGTAAGAACTTTGGGCAGGAGACAGAACTTTGGGCAGGAGCCCGTGGGTGTGATGCAAGGGACAGCAGACGGTAATGGTTGGGAGTCCTGGTCCCTCAGACTACAGGCGTGAGCCACCGCACCCGGCCCACAGCGTATTTTTCTAAGGAAGAAATGCAGGATACAGGACATTACCCTACGCATTTTCCCATTTTTGTAATATGTATTTGAACGTATATATTTTTTTTTTCATGGGAAAAGCTCTGGAAGGATCTTCACCCAAAAGTTAACAAGTGATTCTCTAGGTGGTAGGATTTCAGATAACATTTTCAAGTTTCTGGGTTTTTGTTTTTTTTTCGGCTATCTGCATTTTCTAGTTTTTCTACAACAACCATGTATTGGTTGGAAAATGAAAAGGGGCCAGAAGAAGGAAGGAGTAAGTAGGAAAATTTGGTAAGAATGTGTCTCGCACCTATAATCCTAGCACTTTGGGAGGCCAAGGCGGATGAGTCACTTGAGGTCAGGAGTTTGAGACCAGCCTGGCCAACATGGTGAAACCCAACCTCTGCTAAAAATACAAAAATTAGCCAGGTGTGGTGGCACATGCCTGTAATCCCAGCTACTTGGGTGGCTGAGCCACAAGAATCCCTTGACCCCGGGAGGCAGAGGTTGCAGTGAGCCGAGATGATGCCACTGCACTCCAGCCTGGGTGACAGAGGGGTCTCAGGATAAGAGCAAAAGAAAGAAACCAGAGAGGAAGGGAGAAATGGTCTCTGTGTCAGGAACTTAGGAGCCTGAGTCAGCACCTAGCGCCATCTCAGCCAGCAGCAAGACCGCCAGCAAAGGTGGAGACCTCGCTGCTATTTTAACACTTGTCCTGAAGCCTCGTGGTTAGCTGGATGCACTTGGTCTCCTGGCAGCATATTTGGGGAGGGAGGGGGCGGAGAGGGAGGGCTTACACACACCTCCCCAGCACCCCCGTCTACAAAGTGGAATCTTTTCCACAGTCATTTTAAAAGCAACATGTTGCCAGGTGGCTTAGGAGTCCTGCGGAGAAGGGCTGGAGCCCGGTTTCCCCTGTGAGAGAACCCTGCCCCTTTCCTGCTGGGTTAGCTCTCTCTTAGTCTTTAGTCGATGCTCAGTAACTCTGTGTGTGTGTGTGTGTGTGTGTGTGTGTGTGTGTGTGAGAGAGAGAGAGAGAGAGAGAGAGAAAGAGAGAGGGAGGGGGGGTGGGGGGTCCAGGCTAGAGCTCAGTGGTGTGATCTCAGCTTACTGCAGCCTCCAACTCCTGGGTTCAAGCAATCCTCCCATCTGAGCCTCCGGTGTAGCTGAGACCACAGACAGACCCGGCTAATTTTTAAATTTTTGTGTAGAGACAGGAGAAGGGGTGGGTCTCACTATGCTGCCCAGGCTGGTCTCGAACTCCTGGGCTCAGGCCATCCTCCTGCCTCAGCCTCCTGAAGTGCTCACTACTTAATGAAGGACTGTGGACCTTTCAGAACAGCCTGGCTGAAAAATCAATGCTGACTATGAACAAAACCACTCCTCTGGGGCCAGGCGAGCCCACCGTGGCAAGGACGGGTTCTGGGGCGGCCCGGGCGGCCCCGCGGGGGTGGGCTTCTGTCTCTTATACACATCTAGATGTGTATAAGAGACAGCTACTTAATGAAGGACTGTGGACCTTTCAGAACAGCCTGGCTGAAAAATCAATGCTGACTATGAACAAAACCACTCCTCTGGGGCCAGGCGAGCCCACCGTGGCAAGGACGGGTTCTGGGGCGGCCCGGGCGGCCCCGCGGGGGTGGGCGTGGCGCTGCGCAGGAGGGGACCCGCCGATGGCAGAGGGTCTCCAGGGAGCGGGCGGGGCGTTGAGAGCGCGCACACAGACACCAAACACACAAACACACAAACACACAAACACACAGACACACAAACAAGCGGCCACTGTGCCGAGGCGGAACGCGCTGTGCTCGCGGCCGTCCGGCCCATCCCGCAGCCCTGGGTCAGCCCCGTGAACTCAGCGGACCGGGGGTCGGCGATTCTGCTGGGGCCAGCTGGAGAGGGGCAGGGCGGCCCCCATCTCCGAGGGAGCAGGAGTGACGCTGGGTGGAGAAGCGGCCCCCGTGCGGCACAGAGCGAGCCCCGAGCCTGAACCCGGGAGAGGGGAGTGGGAGAAGCGGCCCCCGTGCGGCCCGTGGCGGGGCGGGTGAGCGCAGGGCGAGCCCCGAGCCTGAGCGCAGCGTCTCCGGGGAGGGGGAGTGCGGTGGGCGCTGCGGCCGGCAGAGGGCGGGTGGCGCAGCCCGGACCTCCCACCAGCAGAGCGCGGGCGCACACACCTCCCGCTGAGATCCCGGCCTTGGCGCCTCTCTGACTTGGAAAAGAAGGAGAGAGCCAAGATATCTGCTTCTCTCGCATTCCAGTGCTCCGTTTGCTCACCCTGACCATGGCACCCGCATAAGCTCTGTTTGTTCCGGAGAGGCCAGCCCTGCGTGTGCTGTCCCTGAGCGTGCTTGGACCTAGGCATAGGACCCGGCTGAGTGGGACATTTACCGCTGCTGGGATGGAGGGAGAACAGGGGGAACCTGTTCTGGCTGAGGCCCAGCACCCCTGGAGCACCCAGCACCTGTGAGTAGAACCACAGTAAGCCAAGCTTCACTCGGTTCCAGCCCCTCACTTCTGCCCCTGCAGGGGTCCCATGGTTGCCCCGAAAGGCATCAGCACCAAACTGGCCTCCCCCACCTCCCCCTAATCAGCGGTAAGAGTCCCAGCTTGCTGGGGAGCCAGTGTTTCCCCACCAGGCTCACCTCTCTCCAACCCGCCCATGAAGCCTGATCCTGCTTCTGCACTTGGCGCAGGATGGGAGTGAGCGGATGAGTGAGGCAGTGGGTGGGTAGGAAGGGAGAGACAACGCGGGGATGCAGGCAAGGTGGAGGGCCCGTGAATAGGAAGGTGGGGGAGGATACATACCCTGGAAGAGGGGGCAGATCTTCCTCCAGGCTGTGACACTCCCTTGGCTGGTGTACTGGCCCAGCGCTACCTCCAGAAAAAACACCGGGATGCCGCAGACAAAGAAGAAGATGAAGTAGGGGATGAAGAAGGCTCCTGCAGAAAAGAGAGAGGCAGGGCTGAACCACACCCAGGCTCTTCCTCAGCCTGGATCCTTTCAGACCTCCCCTCCCCCGAACAAACCCACCCTCCACCATCCTGTTCTTAATCTCCCTCCTGACACCTCCCAGGGACCCAAGGCGGCTTCCTCCTGTCTGCCTGCCGTCCTGAGTGTTAGGCAGGTGCAGGTGGGAATGTTCTGATCTGAACCCTACACAGAATGAGAAAGACCTTGGAAGGGGAATTAATGAAAACTTAGGTGGAAATTCTAATATATATACTATTTATTTTCTTAGTGTACTTTACAAATCTAGTCAAGAGATTATTTTTGGAATAAACACATGGCTTCTGTATAACTTGTTATGCTTATTAAACTTTTGGTACATTTTAGAGAAAAACAAACACCTGGGAAGCATTGTTTTCCCACTGATAATTTTCAGGGTGTTTGTTGCCTCCACCCAGTTCTGATCTGAACGGGGCTCCCAGCAGAGAAGGCCATGATGTGATTACGTGCCAACCTGCAGGTGCCAGAGGGAGGCCAGGCCTAACAGACATCCAGCAGGTTACACAGGAATGGAATCTGAAGACAACAGCAAGCCCAGGAGACCCACCTCAGCAGGAGTCACTAAGGCATAAACCTCGCGTCAGAAGTTCATCTCAGGATGAATGGATTAGTGTTTGTTACACCATGAGAACACTGAGTGCTTACTTGGTGCTGACTCTTGTACGTGCTTCATCAACATCACAGTCCTTGCAAAACAACCTCCCATGGGGCAGGCCCTATTGTTATCCCCATTTTGCAGATAATAAAACTGAGGTCACTTTAAAGATGGAAAAACCAAAGCACGAATGAGGAAACTGAGGCACAAACCCAGGCGGTCTAGTCCTGAGGCTGAGCTCTTACTCACTACACTATATACCTCTGATACTTCATATCCATATTATTATGTAGAAAACACAGAAAGTACAGAGGGAAAGAAAGGCAAAAGCATTGTATATCCTTCCAGATTTCTTAAAAGCACACACACGTATTTCTTTTTTGCAAAAATGAGAAGTAATCATGTATCAAATATATTATTTGATAACCACTTTTTAAATTTTTACCATAAACTTCTTCATGGCAATAAATACATATCTATCTCATCATTTTGATTGCTGCATAGTGTTCCCCTCTGTGTATCTATCCTAGTGCACTTCGCCAGTATGTTGTCATTGGACTTTTGGTCATTTCATCCGAAACCTTGTCGTAATGAAGACTGCTGTCCACATCCTCGTGTACTTGTCTAATTCACTCCTTAGTACAAATTACCAGTAGAGGAACTCCTGAGTCAAAAGGTATGCACTTTTTTTTTTTTTTGCTTTGTGTGTATGATAAAATATACATAATATAAGTCACTTTAACTGTTCTTTAGTGTACAGTTCAGTGGCATTAAGTATATTCGCAATGTTGTGCAACCATCACCACCATCCATCTCCAGAGCTTTTTCATCATCCCGGACTGAGACTCTGTACACATTAAACCCGAACTCCCCATTCCCCTCTCTCCCCAGCCCCTGGCAACCGTGATTCTACTTTCTGTTTCTATGCATTTGTCTATTCTAGGTACCTCATGAATGTGTAATCATACAGTGCTTATCTCTTTGTGCCTGGCTTATTTCACTCAGCATGCATGCCTCCAAGATTCATCCAGGTCATAGCATGAATTCCCCTCTTTTTGAAGGCTACGTAATATTCACTTGCGGGAACCTACCACATTCTGTTTATCCATTCATCTGTTTGTGGATATTTGGGTTGTTTCCACACCTTTGGGGGACGCACGTTTTTTTAAACATGCATTTCCAAATTGTTCTCCAAAACTCTTGCACCCATCTGTCAGATTCCTGATGGCACTATGTGAGAGGAGGATCTGTCAGATTCCTGACGGCACTATGTGAGAGGAGGATCTGTCAGATTCCCGATGGCACTATGTGAGAGGAGGATCTGTCAGATTCCTGATGGCACTATGTGAGAGGAGGATCTGTCAGATTCCTGATGGCACTATGTGAGAGAAGGAAAAGTTTGTGTCTTCTGGATCCTGGAGAGCCACAAGCCAGTAACTCTCCACCGAGTTCCAGAGTCCCTTTGAACCCCATGTTTGCCTTTCCAACCCTACGAATACTAGAGTGTTGGTCAACACAGTGCCAGTAACACCACTGACCCAGGTTTCAGTGGCTTGGGAAGTCCCAGGACCTAGGCTGAGGGGTAGCGTGCAGTAGAGGGACATGGCCTGAGGCCTCCCCAGAAGGCGCTTTACAGGATGCCTGTCAGGGCGTGTGGCCCACGGGACTCCTTCCGTCTGATAAAAGAGGTGGCTTCAGTTCTCGCCTGGGAGTGTGGACTTCTGCCCCACAGAAGACGGGGTGACCTCAGGAGGCCTGGAGCTGGACCCCCCTCAGACTGGGTCCTCCCTGAAAGGGTGGCACCAAGTCTGGACCTTCAGGGGCAGATGAAAAGGTTGGTTCTGGATCGCGTCTAGGGCGTCTTCTACCCTTGGGTTTCTAGAACGCTAACGCTGCCAACACCCTCCCCTCAGATTATCTGATCAGTGCCTTGCTTTCGAAGGTCACCCTGGTTCGTGTCTCCTTGGTGTCAGCCGAGGCTGTGGGCACAGGCAGTCCAGTGATGTCCCACGGGAACCTTTACGGACAGGGTGTCCGGAAGCCCGTGGTTGGTTTAAACACCTCTAAGGTGTGCCTTACCTCCGCTGCGTGCTCGTTCCCAAACCACTCACAACCCAGATAATGGGAGTTTCCTAACGTTCTCTTTTGAGGTGAATGATTTCTTAAGGATGATCTAATTCAGGGGCTCCCCTCTTTTTCATAACCAAAGACCTCATTAGACCAATAGTTTTATTACTCTTTTTGTTTCTTTTGAAAGATTTTTCTCTACAGAACTGTTTACTAGTTAATAATCAATAAATTTCCCTGCATATATTAATAAAAATCATATTTAACTGCCAATCAGGCCTTATGGTCAGCTTGAGATAAACTTTATTATCACTATGAGTTAGTACAGTTCAGTCTACAGCAAAAACTAAAAGACATTTGGACTAGTCTGAGACGTCCTGTTCCCACATCCATCCATCATTAGGTTGTTGGAAATGAGAAAAGGAATTCCTGGTCCTTCTTTACTACATTCCTAGACCCCCAAGGACCAGGGACTCCAGATTGGGACCCCAACTTCATTTGGCCCCCTCATCTTAAAGATGAAAGAAAGGGTACCTTTCCCAAGAGTTAGGCTGGGACGAGGGTCACCCGGATCCGACATTCCGTGATGTTACTGGGGGTACTTATCTCTCTCTGTATGCACCCCGCCCCACGGCCAGGACAGAGGCCGCAGCCACAGCAGAAGCCAGTGGCAGGACAGAGGCAGGGTGAGCGCCCGACGCCGCGGCCCTGCCTCCCAGGCCCTAGAGCTCTCTCCCTCCCGGATAGCTGGGTGAGGAGTGTGCCGTGACGCAGGAAGCAGCCAGCCTGGTTCCAGGGCCCTCTGAGGTCCTGGGCAAATCCTCCTCCACCAAAGGAGGGCTTAGCCTGGGCCACCTCCACCTCCAACCCTGACATCCTATATGCCGTGAGATGGTGGCCCTGGATGAAGAAGGAAACCAGCACCCTGCCCCTTCATCCTCCTTCCCCTGACTTTCTGGCCCAGGGTCAGCCTGCCCTCTCAGCCTCAGCGCTAGAGACCGAGCCAGTCCGAGAAATCCTACTGCTTTTTCTTAGGAGTTGTCAATTCAAGCAGCTTGTGATCATAACTATAAGCTTTAAAACACATAGCAAGATACGTAGTAGACACTCCGTAAATATGGGTCAGATTTAATATAAATAGTGGTTAGGAGGATTTTCTCAACAATGGTTATCTCTAATGTGAGTATTCTTTCTACCTTCCTGAAATGTTTCTAATGTTTGCAATAAACATATACCTTTTCCACAAGAAGAATAAAAGTGATTTCAAGAGGCAAAAATAAAACGACTCTGACCACTCACAAAGGACTGCCCATTGAACGACTCTATTCCTATGAAATAGCCCTAACAGCGATCCACAGAGATCGGCGGCACGCGAGCGGTTGCCAAGGGCTGGCTGGGAGAGGGAATGAGGAGCGACAGCTGATGAATATAGGATTTCTTTTGGGGATGATGAAAATGTTCTAAAAGTGATTGTGGCGACGGTTGCACAATCCTGTGACTAAAAACCACTGAACTGTACACTTAGAAAAAAGAATCGGGCCCCTCCCCACCACTGCTAATTTTTACATCCAGGGCTGAAAAACAATAAAATCATGTGTCTCTAATTTGAAAAACAAACTCAAAGGCAAGGTATTTCTCCAACCAAAATTGCTTCGGTGGCTCCTATCTCACTCAGAACAGAGCCTGAGTGACCCTGTTACCTCTCTGACCTCACCCCATTCTTCTCTCCCTCTCTCATTCCGCCCCAGCCACACCTGCCTCCTCACTGCTCCTCAGACAGGCCTGCTGCTTCCAGTCCCAGGACCTGTGTCGGGCGTGTTCTCCATCCAGGATACACCCACGACACTCACACCTTCACTTCCTTCAAGTCTGCTGAACCGTTCCCTTCCCCTCTGCACGCCTAGCATTCCCTATCCCTCTTCCCTGCGTCACGCCTCGTCCCTCCACGCGTCACCATTCGACGTGGACCGTGCTGCACTGTTTGTCCGCAACCTGCCGCGGACACAGCACCACCCCCCAGAACCCTTCCACGGAGTGTAGCACATGGAATGTGTTCTGTTTCGGACCCAGTGCCGGGTCTGGCACGTGACAGGCCTGCAGTCATGCTCGCTGAATGCATGGCTGAATTCTATCAACAACTGACCTTTACATAGTTACGAAGGAGCTTGCTAAAAACTAGAATTTCTTGGTCCTGCCCGTGGCCTAATTTCATCTTCACCATCGCCCTGGGAGGTATTGTCCCCATTTCACGGAGGGGACGCTGAGGCTAATGGTGGAGCTGGAACTCAAACTCAAGTCCTCCGATTCCAAAATAGCCCTCTTTTTATAAGCCACACTGCCCAGGAAGGAGGGCCCAGATAGGCACTGCCCAGCTGCCAGGGCACAGCTCTCCCCACCATGCCTACCTCAAAGTGAACTCACCACCTCCGTTTTTGTAGCAGAGATAGGGAAACCTCCAGACATTGCCCAGCCCAATGATCTCCCCGGCCACTGACAGCACAAACTCCATCTTGCTGTTCCATTGGCCCCGATCCTTCACCTGGTCCTCGTCTTCCTGGTCCAACTTCTCTCCCTCCTCGGGGACCCAGGAGACCGCAGGAGGCCCATGCTCCTGCACTGCCACTTTCCCATCCATGGCCGTGTGGCGGATTGGGAGGCCCCGCTGGGTGGGCAGGATGACGAGGGCCAAAGCCTGGTGGGAAGAGAAGAAATCAGCTGTAAAACCCCACATGCTCCCGCCAGCCCTGCTTTGCCGTCCTGATCTCTGCTGTCAGCGTATCGCTGCTCTTCCCAAGTGCTCATGGCAGGCGTAACACCTAAGGTTACGCTTCGTTCTCATCACTCTCAGAGCAAAGAAAGAGCAAATCTTAGTTTTCTGAGTTTGCAGATGAGGAAATCCAGGCCTTGACAGACGAAGTGATTTGCCCAAGACCACTCCGGAGTAGAACTGTGACGAAAACCCAGGCTCGAGCTTTTCATTTTCATGTCCCTTTTTATTGGCACAGCTCGCCACCATCCCAGCCGGCCCATCTGCCCAGGTCCTTGATGTCTGCTGAGTGACCTCAGCCTAGCCTCTGGCCTCCAGGCCAGAAGGGATCAAGGCTGCCGAGGTAGCAAGGGTCAAAGGGCAGGTGTGGCCGGAGTGACTGCATGGTTCTCTCCTAGCCAGCTGTGTGCGAAGGTGATCGATCAACGCGGAGTAAACAGGGGAGCCAGCAGCTCTGGGCAGCTGATTGGGAGGAAAAGAGAAGGTGGGGCCTCTGAACAAGGCCAGAAGACAACAAGGATTGGCACCAGGGGCAAGTGTAAGCCTTCGAGGGAGCCCCAGCTCCTCTTCTCTCTGTTGCATCTCTGTCCTGAGAAAAACCGGGGGGCCCTGGTACCAGAAGGGATCAGCAGACCAGTTCTCGCTCGGCTGGCAATCATCTCCACATGACCCCCAAGGTGACCAAATGACTGGCTCTTCAAGAGGGAGGCCCAGCAGTGGCTGCCATCGCGGCGGGTCACTGCCCTTCCTTCTCCCTGCCCTCCTAGAGAGCCCAAAGCGCCCTAGACCTCCAGAAAAAATGACGTGGGCCATTCTCAGTTCTACTCTCTGGCCCTTGGCCTGCTTGTCAACTGCCAGGAGATAAATCCGGTTCTGTCAGGGTGTATCTCCAGTCTGTGTTTACCTTCTCCTCCCTCTCATACACACAAACAATTACCCTGAGGCCACCTCTGCCTTTATGCCCAGGGAATTGCCAAGAGGAGGTGCCCCAGACTGTAGAGGGGAGCACCCATCCCACAGCCCCTCATCTCGGAGGGGTATTGAGGGAATCAAGTGACCAGGTCTACCGAGTGCTCCGCGTTCCTCTAAGGCTCTAGAGAAACACAGGGATTCTTTTTATTAAGGAAGAGTCTGTGTTTATTTGTTGGTCCTTTTAACCCAGGCAACAGCCCAAGCCCAAGTCAGTTAGAAAGGCGTGGGCAGGAGCCATTTGAGGCTATGGAAATTTTTGAAGGTGACTTGGAGGGTGCCAGGAACGGGAAAGCGTGTCAGAGTGAAATTCTGGTTTGGGACCTACTTGGAGGCTTCCCCTGCAGCCCAGGAGGGAGGATGAGGAGAGACGCCCAGTGGAAATCAAAGGTCCTGAGTCTCTGATATAAGGGAGAAGGCGGGGCAGAGGGGGGAAGAGAGCTTCTGGGTCCGTCCGGAGTATGTGATCAGACCCATGGGGGCTTTGAGCACTGGAGCCTTGGGAGAACAAATGGGGAGTTAGGCCCAGGGGAGAAGTTGGTACCATCTGAACCCAAATGTCGATGTTGCCACAGAATTAGGACCGAGGCACCCTGAGAAATGACCCTGGACTCATCCCCAAACAAATGAACAAACTAGCGAACGAGCTTGAAAACATTCATGAAAAAGCACCGGACGGGAAACCCAAGTTCTAATCCAGATCTAGCTGTTAATAACAATAGCAGGCTAACACCTGAGTGAGCCCCGTGTTCACAACAGGCACTCTTTCTCTGTGTGACTGAAGTGCGTCCTCGTAAGAATCTTTGAAGTTAGGCATTACTATTAGCTCCACTTCGTGTGTGACAAAGTGAAGCTCCGAGAGATTAAGGAACAGTGCCCGGCGCCTGCGGGGCCTCGGGGACACCATTCTCGAATGCTAGAATAAACTTACCAAGACAGTGAGTCGTGGAGCTGGGTCTCTAACTTGCTGTGTGACCTCAGGCCAATCACACCTCCTCTCTGAACCCTAAGTCTCCCTGAAAGAGAGAATGACCGCTGCTCAGCAGGGGTTTTCGGAGGGCGAAGGGATAAAAACAAGACTCAATAAAGAGAAGGAGAACCGACGGTCTCTGCTCGCCGGCCATAGGGTGAGCTCCAAACACAAGGACCCCTGGGGCGGTGGTCAGAACTGAGCCTGACTGTTCCCAGACCAGAGGCAGCGATCGCAGGACCAAGGTGGTCTCCAGAGTTGGGGGAGTGGAGTCTTGTTGGGGAAAAGGAGTAAATGAAGGAAAAGCCGGAGGGGAGCAGGGGCAGGGAAGCAAATCATAGAATCCCGTGTGGGCCCAGGGTTTGAGTTTTATCAGAAATAGGGGAAGAGAGAAAAGAGAACAGGAGCTGATGAACTGACACTGGCACTGACACATGATTTTTTAAAAAATAAAAATGTAATTGGGAGGAGCATAACTTGTGGTTAAGAATGAAAATCCAGAATGGCAGAATGAAAGCAAGAGCAAGTGAAAAGGAAAACCGGCCCCGAGCCACGGTAACTTAGGGGGAAATAGGCTTGAACTGCAGCAAGACGGATTTAAGTCAGACTCAGGGAAGAAATGGCCCAGAGGATGTTGGACACCAAAACAAGCTGCACTGAGTTCTCCTTTCTGGCTGCTTTTAAAAGGTGCACCCCACCCCCGCTGTGCGTTCCACCTCCAGCTTCAGCTCGCCTCCCCAGCCCCTCGCGTCTCCTCCCAAGGCTGCCCACCTGCTTTGCTAAGCTGCGGCAGGGGTGAGGGACGGCCGATGGACCTCATCATACTTCAGTGCCCTTCAGAAGCAAACACAATTTCCACCCCGGGCTTGGTGCTGCCCAGAGAGGAAATCTTCAAGAGACTAGAAAGTCCAAAGTTAACTCTGTTTTCAGGAGCTGGGCGTGTAGCCAGAGGCCAGCTGGGGCTCGCAGAGGAGCAGACAAGACCAGAAATGCTGCTGCCCAGGTACCACTGGCGTCCCAGCTCTGTCCCCTTTGCTCCCCAGTCTAGCACAGGAACAGCTCAGCGCTTGCACATGGGGGATGGGACCCACCCCTGCTTCAGCCTACACCCACATACCAACACCCATTCGCGTACACACATTGGTGCCATTTCCCGTCACGTCCCTTTGCACACACATACCTGTGTGCATGACCAAAACCTGGCTCCCTCTGCAGTCCTTCACACCCCGTGAGCTGCTTGTCTCAGTCGGTGGCTGCCTGCAGCTCCCCTGAGTGCCCCCCTCAGGCACAAGCACACCCATGCCGCCCACCGCCCAAAGCCAAGACAGCTTCCTCCTGGGAGACGCCGGGCACCCAGCTCGTTATGCTCAGCCAGGAGGCAGACGACAGGAGCCCCTCACCTGTGATCATTTATTGCAGTTCCTGGGCCCTCAGGAATGCCCCGAGGTTTCTCCTCTCCACTGTTCCTTCCACCTCGATGGACACCATCTGCTTCCCCTCCCCTCACCAGATGACCACCCCTGCTTTCACCCACTGCCGTGACCAGCTCCCCATCGGTGGACTTTCCTGTTCCACAGGCTGATCCCTGAGCCGCTCCCACGCTGGACGGGGCGGAGCTAGGGGGCACCCCTTGTCCTGAGAGTCGGTCGTGGGCATCAGACTTGCCCTCTGGCCCGAGGTTACTGCAGGTCCTGCCTCCCACCACAGACACGCACAGTTCCACAGTCTCACTTCCCTGGGCTCTATCCCTCCAGCCCCCCTGGGCAGCAGGTGGAGACTGCAAAAACAGAGCCAGCCCCTCCACTTCCCGCTCACCTCAGTCCCCAGCACCGGCTCCTGCGGGCAGCTCAGCTGCGGGCATCAGGTCTCCAGGAGAGTTCCAGGGTGGCCGCTTACAGGAAAGTGAAGAGAGCCGGGACCTGAAAGGGAAACTGTCCTCCACGTTCACGCCTTATGCTGTTCCTCCCAGTGCAAAATCCCATGGGACTTGTCCAGGGACTCCCAGACAGAAAGAAGCTCTGTGTGTGTGTGTGTGTGTGTGTGTGTGTGTGTGTGTGTGTGTGTGTTGGGAAGTGAAGGGACAGAGAAATACCAGGAGCAACAGGAGGGACTGAGGCCAAAAGTTTGTGAACCAAGATTACAACATCCAACCTCAGGAAGTCAAGTCCTCTGTCCCCAGTGTTCCCACCCCCATCCCACTCCCACTATGAACCCACTGTCTCCAGACCGGTGCCCTCCCAGTGGGCACGGTCCCATGATGACCCCTCCAGAGCTGGGCTGAGCTGCTCCCTTGGGCAGGGGAAGGGGCTCAGAGGCTCACACCCTGACCTCATCTCCCCTCCTCCTGCTCCTTGCCCTTCCTCCTTTCCCCTCCCCCTTCCCCCTTTTCCTCTATCCCCCTCCAGAACCATCTCCTTCCCAGGGACGAGGAGATGGGATGTGCAGCACAGGGGACAGCCCTCTCTTACCAGAGACTCCAGGCTGGAAACTGAGAACCTTGGGAGGGGAGGTGACCTCACTGATGAGGGCAAGGGAGGAGGGTGAATCACACCCTGGAGTTTTCCACCAAGTACCTGCCCTCTGTGGCTTCCAGGCAAGGCCCTGGACCTTCACAACCACTACCCCCCTCCTTGGGATTTTCCTAGAGAAAGCACCCAGCGCATATCTCAAGAAGCAACGTAGAGAGGACCCAGGCTTGGGACCAGACAGACCTGAGTTTCTTCTCCTCTATCATGTATCAGTCACGACAGCTAGACAAGGGTCAGCCTCGGTTTCCCAGTCTGTCAAACGTAGGTAACAATACAATATCGACTTTGCGGGGCTGCTGTGAGGGTGCTGGGATATCATAGGTGCTTCGGGGCGGGGTGTGGGTCCTCTGGAAGCAGAGGCTGGGACAGTGGGGTATCTGCTCCCAGGCACCTCTGGTCGCTGCACAGCACCAGGCACCTACCTAGAAGTTGTCTGGAGTGGCCTGGCAGCTATCAGTGGGGAGGGTATTTTTGAATACATGTGCCCTATGCCGTGCGCCCAGTGAGTTCCTCCAGAACAGTGTCCTGGTCACTGTCCCTGAGCACGTCCACCTGGTGCTGCGTACGGCACCGTCCCACCGCCCTTCACTCAGAATAGCCGGTGCCTCCTTCAAGCAAAGGAGATGCTTCTTCAGCTCTAGGTGGCATGAAGGGAGAGGAAGTTGTGGGGAGAAAGGGAAAATTCCTTTTACATGTGCTTCCTCTTTGTACTTTAGAACTTCTCAGCAGGGGTGGGGTGTGAAGTGAGAATCTCAGTCTGTAGTTTTCCATCAAGCACCCCCACTGTGTGTCTCTCGGTCCCCTCTCAGCATCTCCTGTGGGGTTTCACATGATGAGGAAGGCAGAGCAGGTCTCAGCTCTCAGACCCACTGCCTCTACGAAACCAGCAGCCGGGCTGGGGGTCAGCCGTGGCACAGTAGGACGTGGCCCAGCAAGAATCCATACTTGAGCTACCCCGGTGCTCAGGTGTGGCCTGTCCCTGAGTGTCAGGTCCACCGTGGATTGACCACAGAGCTATTGCAGAGGGGACATCAAAGTCCGTGCGATCACCTAGCTGTAGCTACTGCAGAACAAAACACGAGCCTCTGCATAAAAATGAGAAAGAGGGGAGAGGATCTGGCAAGCCACGAGGGTGAGTTTTCCTCAAAAATTATATTTAGCGCCTACGGTGTGACATGCTTTCTGCGAGGACGAACAGCAACAGCCCAGCAGTCCTGTCTCCTCTCCTTCACCTTGTCAGAGAACAGCTGCCTGGTTGACCTGGCCCGGGGAGTGCAGTTTGACGTGCCCCCGAAAGAGCTACCTAGTTCCTCCCTGTTTTTATCTGACTACCTCTGGCCTTAGTCCCACCATCTTAATGTTGAGTCCTTCCTTACTCAAGTTCTCCTAGCCTCCAACACCCACTTAGTATTCAGACCAGTTAGTAAACTCCTGGAGGCCAGAGAGTCTCACCTTTGCAAAAGGTAGGCATCCTGGGAAGCCTAGCTGAGACTGGGCTGTGTCCACACTGAGCAGTGTGCAGAGTGAAGATGACGTGTAGCTAAATGAATCTATTACCTTGGCTGCAGCAGGAACCACTGGCCACCACAGAATGTTCTCACCACCCTCATCTTCTAACCCCGTGCCTACTTTCAGAGGGCCTGGAATAGGACTTACTCCTGAGCATCTAACTCAGACGAGGAGTTTCACATGTTACTTCATTTCATCCCCTTAAGGACTTTGAAATATAAAAATCATCAGCCCCGTTTTACAGATGGGAAACTGGGGTGAATAAATAGAAGCTACGTGGTTTGTCCGAAGGCCACACACGAGTGAGTGATGGTGCTGGGATTTGAACCTGGGCCTCTTGGCTCCAAAAATCGATGCTTGTTCCACTGTAGCATACTGTCCCCCTGACCATGGATATCGATAGGGCAGGGGTCTCATTTCATAATTCGTTATTTCTGCCTCTCACATGTAATACAATTCTGCCTCAGAATAGGCACTCGGTGTTTACTGGATGGAGGATGGATGGACGCACAGATGGACAGATGGATGGATGGATGGATGGACGGACGGACGGACAGAGAGATGGATGGATGGATGGACGGATGGACGGATGGACGGACGGATGGACGGACGGACGGACGGACGGACGGACGGATGGATGGATGGATGCACAGATGGACGGACGGATGGATGGATGGACGGATGGATGAACGGACAGATGGAACTTGAAGGGGGAAAAATGATCACAGTTTTCCCTTTTCTGGGAGGACATTGTTTCCCCAGAATCAGAGGGCTTAGATGACTCAGGTCCTGCTTATCTTGGACGATGCTGCTGTGCGGAGTAGCACTCTCAGGCCACAGGAGAGAGAATTATTTTAGGACTACCTCTCCCTCCAGTGCAACCTAGTCTGAGACTGGGGACAGCAAGGGTATCTCTAAACTCCTCCTGAGCTCTCCTGTGATGCTGGCAGCCCGAAGTGGTGGGGCTGGAGCTATGGGAAATAGGATGGGTTTGCCTGAATGCTCCCCAGGGCAGCTGTCCCTATAGCATCTGTTGGACTCTAACAACACTGATGTGAGTAGTGGTATTCCTGTTTTATGGAAGAGAAGACTAAGGATCAGAGAGGTTACACTTGCCCAAGGTCACACAGTACGTAAAAGGGCCAGGATCCAAGCCAGGCCTGGAAGCCCCTCTAAAGGAGTACGCTCAGCTGGCTGTGGCGTCTCTGAGTGGGTGCACATGTGCACCTGTCTCTGAGGATGAGGAGGGGCTGGTGCCTGCATGGCTGTGTATGGATCTGAGACCCGGGTGTCCATGTGGGCAAGGTCTGAGGCCCCACGCAGCCTGGTGGGCTCAGTGTCTAACAAGCCGCTTCCCCACAGCCCTGGGCAGAGTCTGTAACTCTCCGCTACCTCTGCTTCTGCTCTCCCTGTTCAGCGTGCCCCGGGCTCTCACTGCTTGCCTTTCTCCTCTAACAGGTGTGGCCTCCAGACAAGAGAGGGCCCCTTCCTTTGGGTCTCCTTCTCTGGGAACTCCACGATACAGGGCCCACCCTTCCAGGCTGGGGAAGCAGGTGTCACTGACTCGGCTGCCCTACACCCCCACCCC